CGGCCCAGTTGGCTCCTCGGCATCCCCTGCACGGTGAAGGAGTCCATCGCGTGCCGGGGCTGCCCCAACAGCTCCGGCCACCCCCACCGCCGCGGGCGGTTTTCCGAGACGGACAGCCCCGTCGTGCGGAACTTCCGCGAGGCCGGCGCGGTCATCCTCGGGGTCACCAACACCAGTGAGCTGTGCATGTGGTACGAGAGCTCCAACCACGTCTACGGGATCACCTGTAACCCGTACGACACGCGGTGTATTGTCGGCGGGAGTAGCGGAGGGGAGGGCACCGCGGTGGGGGCCGCCTTCGCGGTCTTCGGCCTCGGAAGCGATATCGGCGGGTCGATCCGGATGCCCTGCCACTTCAACGGCGTCTATGGCCATAAGTCGAGCCCGCATTACATCACGAACGACGGGCAGTACCCGGGCGCGCGGAGCTCGGCGAATCACTACATGGCGACGGGCGTCCTCACTCGATTCCCGGAGGATCTCATCCCGCTCAGCGTCGTCGCCGCGCGCGGGGGATTCGGGCGGGATCCGCAACGTTTCCCCCCGGCGAGGCCGCTCAAGCAGGCGGTCGACCTGCGCGGCCCTCGTCGCCCCCGTCTGCGCGTTTTCGCCATCGAGGAGTTCGGCGCGCCGTGGCCGGTGCGGGTTTCGCGCAGCCAAAAAGAGGCCGTGCGGGTCGCCGCGGAGGCTCTCCGCACAGAGCTCGGCGCCCACGTCGTCTACGTCGACCTCCTCAACCGTCGGCAAAGCCTCCACGGCGATCCGAAGGAGAAAAGGGAGGAAGGAAAAGCAAAAGAGGAGCTCCCACGTGAGCTCGCGCTCTTCGCGCGGACGCTGGGAATGTGGTTTAGCGTTCTCGGCACCGACCCGGACGAGTGCAAGTTCAGTGAGTGTATGGCCGAGGGCTACGGCCGGAAGGACGTGAACTGGTTCGCGGAGCTCCTCCGGTGGCTGCTCGGGAATTCCCACCACACCCTCCCCGCCCTCGGCCTCTGTGTGATCGAGCAAACACAGAATTTGCTCTACCGGCTCTGCGGTATTAAAAACCCCAATAATCGCGAGACGGTCGATTTGCTCAAGAACTGCCTGGAGGAGCTCCTCGGCGGGGATGGCATTCTCATCGCGCCGACCTTCCCCACCCCCGCGCCGCGCCACCATGCCCCAACTTGGAATCCTTTTCAGTTTCAATACACCGCCGCCTTCAACGTGCTGCAGCTGCCCGTAACGGCCTGCCCGATTTGGCTGGGCGAGGAGATGAAGGATCGTCGGACGAGCTTCTCCTACTTCGAGGCTCGTGCTGCGCACATGCCCGATGACTTCCACCTCCCTAAGGGTGTGCAGATCGTGGGGGCAACCCACCAGGATGAGCTTTGCATCGGCGTCGCTCTCGAGTTAGATCGCATTCTAGGCGGGTACCGCTACCCGGGATGGGCTCGCTTGGAGAACGATAAAAAAGGAAAATGATCAGGAAAAAGAGGAGGGAAAAGAGATAGGTAGGAGGATAGAAAAGAAAAGAAAAACAATGATGGGGGGCTCAGGGAATACGCGGAGCGAAGAAGCAAGACGTATTGGGATGCACAACCCGGCGAATAACTACATGCTATGTATGTTTATTATGACAATTTTCTATTGCAGTTTGAATCTCAACTGCATGTGCATGTCCCTTTGTCTCTGCTCCACCACTCGGAAACACTAATTGAAGCCTATGTCGGATATTTAGTGGCAACGGCGGGAGCACTTTCGTTTCGCGGGTCTAAGTTAAGAATATTCCAATGACCGCAATCAATTTGGACGGATAAATTTCAGTGAAGCCTTTTGCACTAGCAAGTAAAACCTTCGTCTGTTATCGCCGCCCATCGCTTGCTCTTTCATTACTTGTAACGATAAAAAGAGATCAGAATAAGAGGCTTTAGGGGATTTAGATATCTATCCCTTTTCCATTATATGTAAATTTATATATACTTATATATACTTATATATATATATATATATATAAGTATATAAACAGGGAAGTATAATTCATTTAGATTGGTCTTTGCTTTATTCCTATTTAAATTCTAAATGATCTAAATATAAAGATTGTGTCGCTGGCATACCATATGGATAAAGTCGATGCACATCCTTACATTGAGTATAAAAAAACTAAGCTTTTCTTGATACTAGTTTAGGTTGCTGTGGTGCATCTTTTTTTATCATTATGTTATCCATTTCTTAGAAAATCAAAGGGGGCAAGCATTCCTGAGCCTGATTCAGTTATAACATCTTGTCATCAAGTTTCTACTCAGGTATTTCATTTCCCCATCTTGGTAATGTACGAAGTGTTGGAAGGAAATTGATAATTGCTATCATGTCATCTGTGAACACAATTACATTCTCAATTATATTTCCTCTCTCCCATTGGAAGTAGTAGTTCTGCTGTGAGGTGAAAAGAAGAACGATTCATTGGAATCTAGGTCAACCAAAAGTGGACAGAGTGTGTTTGCCGTTGTTATCCTTCAAAAAAAAACAAATAATTATAAAATCTAAGCCTCAACCTTTTTAAAAGGAGAAGACACACTTTCACGTTCGATAAAAAGGAGTAAAATCAGTAGTAAACATTTTTATAAAAGGTCATGTCCCTCACAACAGCGTTTCCCTTCCGTGCCTACGAGGGGGACTTGCGCACGAGGCGGCTGATGCGAACCAAGCATGGTCTTTTTCTCTCCCTGCTCACCTCAGAGGATATGGCGAGCATGACCTTCGTGGAGGTGCGCGTGCGTTGCGGGCAGGAGGATAAGTCTGCGCCATGGCAGGCCGTCCGCAAAGACGGTGAGCTCGCCGCGACGTTCTACGATACGCGGATGGGCAACTTCAGCGTGCGCAGCTTTCCTGTTCAGGCGTGCACGACGTGCACGAACTCGCACTGCGGCCGCCTCGGCAACGAGCGCTGCCAGGGTCATTTTGGCTTCATCCGAATGCCCCGTCGGCGGGTCCTCGCGGCGGAGGCCCCTTCTTCGCACGGTCTCCTCCCCTCCTCCCCTTCCGTCGTCGCGGATGAGCAGCTCTACGTCATCAACCCACACCTCGCCACCGAGGTGGAGCAGCTCCTGCAGGCGAAGTGCTTCTTCTGCCACCGCTTTCGGGCGCCGGAGTTCGACGTGCAGCGCTACCTGCAGGCTCTGCGGCTGCTCGATGCGGGGCTGATCGGGGAGGCGAGGCGGCTCCTCGACGTGGTGGCGAACGCGCGCGGGCAGGAGGCGCGCAACCGGCGCCGCCGCGACGCGAACGAGGAGGTGATCAGCACCGTGAATACGTTGCAGGAGTACGTGAACCGAATCCTGCAGCAAAACGCGTCGGCAGGCGGCGCTGGCGGCCCCTCGTCCCTCGCCAACGGCGACTTGGGGAACCCCCACACCCACCACGATTTAAACGACGAAGCGAGCGAAGGCGTCGGTGAGGAGACCGGGCCCCTCGCTGCCTCGCTGGATATCCGAAACAGCATCTGCAAGCAGGCGCTGGCGGAGCTGCGGGAGTACGCGAACGTGTG